CACAGCCACCCCCCCCACACACACACACATTCCTCCCTCCTTGAGATCCCTCTCTGTCCCCCTCCCCCGCTGTAGGATATCTCTGGTTTATAATTATCTGTTTGTTTTTGTTGTGTTGTGTTTTGTATTGTTAATAACAATTTACTCCCCCCCCCCCATTTCTTATTTGGTTCTCTTCTTGGATTATCTCTGCCACTTCTATTCTCTTTTAGGACCCCCTGTTAATCATATCTTTCCTCTGGCTTGAGACACTAGTTTTATCATCTCCTCTATTTTCTGTCTCATTAACTTTATATTTTTCACAATTTCATATTCCTTTCACTTTTTTAAAATACTTGGAGGTACACAGGAAGTTGTAAAGTAATGCCTGGTAGACTGGTGGCCTGTGGACTTTCCTGTGCTGTTCACTCAGGTTGTAGGTCACCCACTGAACCCCTACTACTCAGAGCTTCAGCCACTGTCCTTGGGACAGCTGTTCTCTGGGAGAAATCCTCGAAACTTGGGTTTGGAGTGGCTGGGTGGTACCACCCTGACTTCCAGACCCTGGGGACCCCTGATATACACCCAGACGCTGGAGTATCTCCTGCTTGCTTCTGGTCCACTCTGTGGCATTCTTCCTCCTAGTATGCCTGGAATTCCCAGGCCACAGTCTCTGGCCTGCCCTCTCCTGAGAGGGCACAGCTATAGTCTCCAGGGCTGAGAGGAGAGAATAAATCCACCAATGAGGGTCAGCACAGAGGGTTTGAGCTCTAGCAATTTCTTGTACAAACTCAACATTCCTGTCTACTCTCCTACCTGCATTTTGTCCTTCAGAAGCACAGAGGTTCCTGGGGTTCTGTGTACAAAACCGTCTGTGCCTGGCAATCCCTACTACTGTCTAAGGGCCTTGCTTTCTTAGTTGGCCAAGTCAGGAACTGGATCCATCTGCTGTCTAGCTTCTGGAATTCTGTTTTTGTCCAATCTTTACTCTCTGCCACTATGTACTTCCCCTGCTGGGGCTCCCACAATAAGTGTCCATCTGGTATATCAGTCCAGCTGATTTACAACATGGCAGACCCTGGCAAACCTCTCAGCCCTCAGTCTCCATCACATGCTTTCTCCTCTTGGCAGGGGACCTAACAGCAAGAGACCTTACTTACATATCTCAGGGTTGCACCCAGTAGCCCTGGGGTATACCAAACTCAGAAGTTCAACAGTCGGCCCAATGGCACAGCTAGGCAGAAATGTGGCGTGGTCTTACTCGTGCCATTTGGTGTTACTGTTTGTTGACTGAGTAATACAAGGGGATTTAGATATTAATATATAGCGTCTAAGCATAAGTTATCCCTTGAGCCCTACAACGTAGTAAATTGACTTGCAGGCAAGAAGTAGACAGAGTGGGAGGGCAATGCTCCGAGTAGTAGCTTGTAGACACTCACTGCCTCCCCTTACCTTCAGTGAAGTTCCCTTGTGGGAGGCCAGGGAAGCAAATAGAGAAGAGGCGCAAAAACTTGAAACGTGATACAAAACAAGAAGACCAAGTAGATCCACGGCTTGTCATGGGGACACTGACCAAATGGGGAGAAAGCCCCTGGCAGGTAAGAGTAGGGGCAGCAGGATGTGACTTCCTTTGGACTGCTCAGGAAGTCCAAAGGAGGCAGGATGGGGTGGAGAAAGTTTTGCCTTTGCTTGGTGGGGGCAGGGTTTGGGGGGGTGTGCAGCTGAGGGAAGATGGAAGTAACCAAATGGGAGAGCACACAGGGAACTGTGTAGTGAACATGGGGTCCTTGGGGATGGGGGGGGGATGTGCAGGAAGGAAAAAAGGAGCTGGAAGGTAGTGCTCTGTTCATGGGATTTGAGGCAAAAGCTGACTAAAAGAGGCATTTTTGCCTGGGAGAGGGCTGAGAGAAGTTTGCCCCGAGGTGCCTCTTCATCCTCACCATGGCACTAACATTGACTTGGTCCCCTTCTGCCAGGTGCTGGTGGTTGACAGGCATCAGAGAGATCACAGGTTCTGAGAGGAATAGGTCTCTGATATATGGTAGCCCAGTGGGAACAGTCAGAATGGCTAGCAGAACAGGCTGAGGGAGCTTTGAGGAGATACCCAAAGCAACCCTCAGGGTTTCAGAGTCTTCGCAGGGGACTCAAGGCCCAGCCAGAGAACTCAAAGGTGAGAACTCTCTGGGTACACTGACGATGACTGCTGGAATGTCATGGCAGCAGTAGGGAGATGCCCTGACAGGCCAACTCCATAAAACATGCAGAAATAGAAAGTGCTAAAAAAAAAAAGGTTTTTGAGCACAGGAAAGAGACTGACTTAAACTTTTAGCATCTCGGGTTTGAGGACCATGCCAGGTGTCCCGCTGAGACCTAGAGGCCCTGTGTCACTGCCACCCCCTCTCCAGGTGATTCTACTGGACTCAAAGAAGAAACTGGCCTGCGGGGCGGTGCTCATCCACACCTCCTGGGTGCTGACGGCGGCACACTGCATGGAGGACTCCAAGAAGCTCATTGCCAGGCTGGGTACAGGCTGATGTCAGGCGGGAGGGGTCACTGGCCAGGTGGCCAGGTTTGGAACCCTGTCTCTGGGTGCTTGAGCAAGGGTCACTTGAGCTCCACAGAGTGTTTGGGGGAAATGGCCGATTTGCACCCACCCTGCAATATTGTCTGTTAACATTGGCTACTTTGCAGACGTCCAGGACCATCTTCAAAGGTGTGCCTGGGTGCTGTTACCAGGAGCACAACTGACAATAAGGGGTCACACATCTGCCACGGGGGACCTCATCACACTCAAGCATAAGGGCCTGGCCTCACATGGATGGATGGGGGAGGAACTGTGCAGCTCTGGGGCCTTGATTCCTCCCACAGTAGCCAGTTGCTTCCCTGCAGTAGCCCAGGGGTCCTGAAGATCCAATTTCTGGACCAATTTCTGGAAGGGGCTCACCAGATTTATGCAAAAGAAATTGAGAAACTGAGATTGACTAAATTCATCTTCTACAGTCCCTCCAGCACAACCAGTGGCCTGTGGCCTTCAGCAGGGTTCCCTGGGAATTTTTACCCCATGTTCCTTCTCCAGGAAGCATCAACCTGAACTGAGGGATCATGATCCAGATCTTTCCTCCCTGGCAGAACCTTTGTCCTTCTGCTTTTCTTCTCTGGGTCTTGCTACAATCATCGTGCCCTGCTTGGCTAGTCCCTTCCCAGTGGGGTAGCCAGTACTCTGATCATGCCAGCAGGACAGCCTTATTTGACTAGCTGTGACCACTCCACATTCCCTTGTGGCTCTGGCCTGTGTCTTCCCTGCCAGTTGCCCACTGCTGGCTAAGACCTTGGCATTTCTCCATCTCCATTCTCCTAAATTTAGAACCACCTTTGTCTTTTAAGGAAGGATGCCCACAGGCTGACACCCCTGATAGAAATATGCACACAGGTGGCCCAATGATCCCTCCAGCTGTGTGGGCCACAAGCTGCCCTGCACAAGGGCCCATACATGCACATAGCAGTCATGCTGGTCCCCTGCTCTGACAGCCTCTGTGCCCCACAGGGGAATATGATCTGCGGCGTTGGGAACACTCAGAGATAGACCTGGGCATCAAAGAAGTCCTCATTCACCCCAACTACAGCAGGAGCACCACTGACAATGACATCGCGCTGCTCCGCCTGGCCCAGCCCGCCACCCTCTCACAGACCATTGTGCCCATCTGCCTGCCAGACAGTGGCCTGTCAGAGCGGGAGCTCACAAAGGTGGGACAGGAGACCATGGTGACAGGCTGGGGCTACCGTAGTGAGACCAAGAGAAACCGCACCTATGTCCTCAACTTCATCAAGATCCCAGTGGCTCCACACAGTGAGTGCGTCCAGGCCATGAACAACCTGGTCTCAGAGAACATGCTGTGTGCCGGCATCCTGGGGGACCCACGGGATGCTTGTGAGGGTGACAGTGGGGGACCCATGGTCGCCTCCTTCCATGACACCTGGTTCCTGGTAGGCTTGGTGAGCTGGGGTGAGGGCTGTGGGCGCCTCCACAACTACGGTGTCTACACTAAAGTTAGCCGCTACCTTGACTGGATCCATAGCCACATCAAAGCCAATGAGGCCTCCCCAGAGAACCAGGCACCCTAGAGCCCCTCCAGCTTGGGTTTGCTTCTCAGAGTCCACTCTTGGAATGGGGGCTGGGCTGTGAAATGTAGTAATGTTTGAAACATTAAAAAGGCATGCCACAAACACAGCAGAATTCTTCTGTTTTTCCATTCCTTTCCTGCACTGTTCTAGAGGGAAGTCAAATTGATTTGGCATCTACTGTATATCCACCCTTTATGAACATCTTACTTATCCCCACAGAGCTGCTGTGGGGAGGAATAAAGCCAAGTTTCACAGGGTCTGAAACTGTTAACATTTTGTGGGGGGAAGAGTTTCTCATTATGGAAAGAATTTTAAAATGTGACTCAAAACTGTGAGCACATCCCAGGCACTTGGCAGGAGCTTGTATGCCTCACGGAACCTGAAGCTGAAGCTTGATAGTAAATCCAGATGCGGAAGTAGAGATTTATATATATATATATATATATATATAATAGTTTGATTGAGATTTTTAACTCACAGAGAAGGAAACTGAGGTTTAGGAGGTCTACACAGTCGAGTTTGGATTCAAATGTAGATTTGACCCTAAGACCCATGAATCCTTTCTGTTCACTGTTCCAGGAAGGCAGTTCTTTGAGCACCTGCTGGGTGTGGAAACTACCACTAGGCATGAGGGGTAGGCAGAGACCCCCCCCAGGTGTTGGGTCAGCCAGAATGAGCTCCCAGTATAGTTAACAAAGTGGTTTAAAAAACAATCTGGAATAATAGTGAGCAAGAGGCTGTATCTCAACCTGGCCTGATGGGCCACAGGTGGATAAGACAGGGAAGTCAGATGGACCTGATCAAAAGGGAGGCGGTGAGACAAAGCCAACACAATTAGCCTGGAGTCTCAAAATTTGTTTCCTTCTCTGTGTGGCCTCCAGCAAGTGTCCTCTCCTCTCTGGGCATCAGTAAATTAAGGGAACTTAAGGAAAGGAGTGACTCCCAACACCGCTGTCTACAGAATCCCCCAGGAACTCCCAAAACTCTGTGTCTAGTCCTGCCCTCACCAATTCTGGTTTAATTGACTTAGGACTATCTTATTAATTTTTTTTCCTTTTCATTTGCACTTTTGTATTTGCTTTTTTTTTTTACACGCTGATATTCTAAACTTGTCAAGTCACTTTAATATGACTGTTGAATGCTACTGGGTGAAATTGTCTTCAAAGGACCTTTTCTGCTGGGGTTGGCAATAGTTCTAACACTGTCATGGTCAATGAGAATGATGACCTGCAGTCTCAGAAAGCACAAGCACAGTCAGTTAAAAGAAAGAGAAAGAGGACTCACTTGAGATTATATCCAGCTTGGCAGAGCCACAACTGCTGCATACAGATCAGAGGAAATACCAGACCCCACTAAGATAGGCTTGTCTGAGAGAGGTCCTGCTTGGTCCATCTCTATGTGGACCTGGGGAAGGAATCAGGGGGACCACTTGGAAATAGAACAAGTCAGGCCCTGCACTGGGACTAGACTATCTACTGACCAGTGCACAGGCTAGTGCCTCCAACTTTGGAGTGGGAGATGATAGGGTGACAGTGAATTTTGCTGGAGATCTTTGTTCTATTCAGAATTCCCCAATTTCCTCTAACATAGGTGAGCTAACTTCTGATATGGTGAAATGAGGGGATCTACTGCCCTGCTCCCCGGTGCAACTAGTGTTAATTATAAAAACAAACAAACATTTAAAGTACCTGGAAATGGTCCTAATGGCAAAGAAAATAAGAATAAAAATAGAACTTTTAGACCAACACAAGAAAATTTGAGGGTTACTTTTGGGATGGGTTGGAGGTTAATGTGGTCTTTGTAAGCATCCCCAAATTGTATCATGGCTGAGACCTAAGCGTAGCCTCTGTAACCTAAAAGTATAGAATCAACCTTATCTTTAGATACTTGCAAAATAGATCTCAGACTCATATGCAGCTTTATGAGAAGTGAATAAGTGGACACAGTTTTTGATGTATCATAGTTTTTGATAAGTATAAGTATTTTGTATTAGGTAATGCAATGAGACTTATTCTATAAGTATAAAAAACAACTGGGTTAATTATGCCAAATAGAGATAATATTACTCTGCTTCAAAGTATACCCAACTTGAAATTATCAAGGTAGTGAGAAATTGTTGAGAAAGCAATATAGTTTGTTTTTTTAGGTGCCCATTGTTGAAAATATAGTTCTAGCATATTTTTTCATATTATTTTGATTACTCTTATGTTATTACTAGATAACTCACAAATGATCATTATACATTTTTTTAAATATTTATTTATTTATGCATACAGAACTGGGGTACAGGCCAGAGGTGCAGGGGTGGTGAGAGGATTCACCAGAGACAGAGTGGGTAGCAGAACAGGCAGAACAACGAAGTACACTGCTGAGGAGAGCAGCGGGCGGGTCAGGAGAGGTCTGCCGTGCCATGTGGGTGACCTCCCTGGCCAGGGGTCGAACTCATGCTGAAGTGGCTTTAGCTTCTTAGTGCTGTGCTTTAACCCACTGCACCACCAGGGAGGACCCTATACATTTTTTTTAAGATTTATGTATGTGTACAGAACTGGGGTACTGGCCAGGAGTGGTGAGAGGGTTCACCAGAGACAGACTGAGGAGCAGAACAGGCTGACTGATGATGAAGTATTCTGCTGAGGGGAGCAGTGGGCAGGTCAGGAGAGGTCTGCTGTGCCATGTGCATCACCTCTGGGGCAGGGACTGAACTAATGATGAAGTGGCTTTAACTTCTTAGTGCTGTGCTTTAACCTTCTGCGCTACCAGGGAGGGCTCTGTACAATTGTTTTTATTAAAAAAAAAAAACAAAAACTTGATCTGTCAACAAAAAGTAAAGTAGAATAAAAACAAATAGGCAGCATACAAAAATTAATTAAATTTCTATATGCTGAAAATGAATACCAATAATACCCAGGACAATGCCACTTGAATCATTCTAAAGAAAATGATATACTTAGATATAAATTTAATAAAATTAACAGATATGTATGATGAAATTATAAAGTAAGGAATTAAAGAAGATCTAAATGTATGGAAAGACATATTGAAAGACTCACCACAGTAACAATGCCACTTTTCCCAAAACTTATCTTTAGGCTTAAATACAATTACTACCAAAATTCCAGCATGGCTTTGTTGCAGATTTAGATGAACTCACTATAAAATATGTATCGCTAAATATTTTTAAAAAGCAAGAAATTAGGAGAAATCACTCTACCCAGTGTTAAGACTTATAACCCAGCTAGGGTAGTCAAAATGATACTGGTATCTGAAGACTGTAAATTGTTAATGGTGGTGCCCCCCAAAGGGGTTTGCTGGTAGAAAATATAAGACCCCAGGAGGGTGCTATAAGTTGGGTGAAGCAACAGGAAAAGTATGTAAGGGAGCTCTGTGCATACCGAAGAGGAAGCTCTGGGCATGCAAGAGAAAAAGCCGCACAGAGACAGGCGTGAGGTGCACAGGATAGAAGCCAAGCTGCAGTGCAGAGCACAATGGCAGTGGAGGGCGTGGGACAGCCCCGTGAGGGCTTCGTGGAGTTGAGCTACATGGCAGAGGCCATTTAGTACGGCCTTGTCTTAATTGTTTTGGAAAAATTTTGTTAGGCCTGGCAGAGGAAGGGACACCAAAGAAACAGGCATCTTGCTGAAGTGTGACCTGAAGAGTAAGGGAGACCCAGAGCCAGGGGTCCTGCTAAAATGCATGAGAGTGGCTGTTTGTCAGATCATTCGGCTGCAACAGCTGGTGTCCTGTGCTGGGGCATTCTGGCAGCCCAAGAAACATCTCCTGTTGCATCTTTTGCTGTGTTTGTGAATCGGATCCTGGCCTACAGTTTGTCTGCCACATGTTCACAGTGGCAGGAAGATGCCACTTTAGACACATGACCTATTGTTTGGGAAAGGAGCTGCACATCCTTAGTGGTGGGAAGACCTCATTAAGATCTTTGTGTAGGAGTGAACAGTACTGGACACAACTTTGGATAAAGTAAATGGCCATTATTGGCCTCAGTAACTCTTTTCTTGGTTTGTTAAAAAAAATCCCTTTGTTGTTATTTGCTAAGCCTTAGGTCTTGCAGTTGTGAGCATAAAGAACCAAGTATTTGGGTAGCAGGCAAAGTATTTGGGTAAAGTACTTTGGGTAAAGTATTTGGGTAGCGGGCCCATGGCCAGGTTAGTCTCCTTCCTAACCTTTATCAAAAATGTGTTTTGATATTGGTTGGGGGGGGGGACACACAGATCACTGTAACAAAACAGAAAACCCACACACCTATGGCCATCTAACTTTTGACAATGGTACAAAAGCAATTCAATTAAGGCAGGAGAGCCTTTCCAATACTTGGAATGACACAATGAGGCACCCGTAAGCCAAAAAATAAGCTTTGGTTCAAGTTTCACACTTTATACAAAAATTAAAGCAAAATGACCTTAAGTGTAAAATTATAAAATGAAATGGATAAATTCTAGCTAATGGAAATTATGGCGTAAGATGGACATAGTTATAATAAATGTCTTTTGTTAGGTTAAATCTACCTTTTGTAAGTGAAAACACTCAAAATTAAAAATGAACCCAACAACATACTATTTCCAGACCAGTTAGAAACAAAACAAAAAAAATGCTAAAAGATTAAAACCAAAGAATGCCAGAAATTCCATGCAAATTTGAATGAAAAGAAAATGAAAGCAAGTGGGAAATCAAGGAAAAAACAGTATAAAGAACAAGATGGGCATGAAATACTAATAAAAGTATCAGTCACTTATAAAGACATAATCATTGCAAAATAGCATATGCCTTCTATTTATAATAGCCAATATATGGACACAACTCAAATGCCCCATACACCAATATACTGAAAAATTGTGGTGTATTTACACAATGGAATATTACTCAGCAGTCAAAAAAAGACAAACCCATGCTGTTTGCCAAAACATGGGTGGAGTTGAAAGGGATTAAGTCAGAAGGTAAAAGATAAATATAGGATGGTCTCCTTTATAGGCATACTATAGAGAAATCAAACAGAAGTTCAAGAAAAAGACAAAACTAGCAAGATGACCATAGACCTGGAGCTCAGAGTAAGGAAGGGGAGAAACGGGG